AAAAAAAAAAAAAGTGTTCTGAGAAGAGGACACTGTCTCATCCAAGACCTTCTTTAGTCTATTAGAAGGCACCTCAGATAACATCTAATAAATGCTTCCTACCAGGCTAATAGGTCTAAAATCCTTTATGCTCATCACACCTTCCTTCTTTGGTGCAATGGTAATAAATAGTTAAGTTTAGCTTGGTTATTCTTTTAGAAAGTTTATCTTTGTTATTATGTTAAATTATTGGATTTTTGAATAGTAATATATACCTATTTCAAAATAGTTAGGAAATCAAGGTTACATAATTACAAGAAAAAAATCTCCTTAATTGATTACAGCATATCTACAGTAACTACACACTATTCTTAACACTATTACTCAAGCTAGTGCGTACAAATTGTATGTATCAAACTAGTGACATATAGAACTAGTTTGAGGCCAGTAATAAATTTAGTGGATATATGTAAGTTGATTATTTGACTTAACAAACTTTATGTCAATGTGTCCTAAGAATATATTTTCTCTAAACAAAATGACAACCTATCTCTATGTACTTTCCTCTCATGAAACATCGAATTTGAAGCAATATGAAATACAGCTTGATCATCATACACAAGCTCCATATGATCGATCCTTCCCGACTTTAATTCTTTCCCTAGTTGTTTGATCCATATAAGATTATAATTCAATGCTATCATTGCTAGATATTCTGCTTTTGCACTGGATCTTACAACTACAATTTGTCATTGCTCGTCTGAAATCTAAAGTGCCTCCAACTAGAAATGCAACATTTGGAAGTATGAACGCCTATCAGAGGGTACCCTGCCGAACAACTGCAATACAAAATGGTTCATAAGCCTAACTAAAACCCAAGAGCTATATCATGAGGTCAGAATTGTCCAAGACAATATAGAGACAAAAATCCATTCAACTAATGTTGAATACTTAACCCCTCGTTGCATGTCTAGAATTGGATATCAGAGCATGAAAACATAAAAGGAGGTCCAACATTGAGAAACACAACAAGTATGGGACTGATTCTGACATCATGTAAGAAATGAAGAACACAAGAGAATATTGACAGAAAGCTTAGCTTAACTATTCTGTCAAGCTATACACACATTTAAAATAAGAATGAAATCAAAGTTACACAGTTACAAGAAAAATAATCTCCCTAGTTAATGTACAACTTATTCACAATAATTACACTACATTCTTAACATAATTGATTCTACCCAACTGATATCGACTATCGCCAAAATCCAATTCCATACCTGTAGGAGTATCAAATGCAGGCAGCATTCTCCGTGCCAAGTCTTCAGCCAAGTGAAGCAACTCATCATCATAAGAGGGAATCCTCATGCCCTGCAGTTCTAGAAAGAACCTGGTTAAAATGTTTTGGAGAAAGTAGCCAAGAGAATCCACTTGGCTAAAGTTAACAACCATAGAAAGTAATACTTTTTAAAATACTCAAGAAAAACATAGTTATGAATATGATACCGTGTTGTGGTCACTTGCAATGAGATGAGCAGAAATTAAACCTCCAAGGATACGGATTGTAGTCTCAAAGATAGATACTGTTTTGTTCTGCAAATACATAGTAAAATTCATAAACTCAGAAAAGTAGTGGTACAAGATATTCATCCTCAGAAAATTGTGACAGAAATGAAAATGGAAAAATAGTTTCACAAGGATGCCAGGCAAAAGCTTAATGTCAAACATAAACCTTCAATATCAGTAAAGTATATTGAATGGACAAAACTTCTTTTTGCTCTTATCTTAAGAATTCAAATGCTTGTTAGAAGTACTACAACAACAACAACATCCCCAGAGTAGTCCCAAGTGGGGTCTGGGGAGGGAAGGATATATGCAAACCTTAACTCTACCTTTGCAAGGTAGAAAAGTTGTTTCCGATAGACATTCAGCTCAAAAGAAGTGTAATAAGGCAGATTTGAAAGAAACATATAGCAAAATGGCAAAATAAATGGAGCAAAGAGCAGATGAAGCAACAAGTAGTAGTGAAAGTTAAATAATAAGATAATACGTGAATACTAACTAATACGACTAAATAAGGAGAAGATGAGAAGAGGAGACCGACTCCCAACCTCTTCCACATATAAGTATGAAAACACTTGGCTACCTACTATCTGTCTACCCTTATCCTCGACCTCCAAACCTTCCTATCTAGGGTCATATTCTGAGTAAGATGAAGGTGTATCATGTCCTGTCTAAGCACCTTCCCTAGTTCTTTCTCCTCCTACCTCTACCTCTCTTAAGACCTGCAATAACCAACCACTCACACCTCCTTACTTACTGGTGCATCTGTGCACTTCCTCTTCACATGCTGAATGATCTTAACCTCGTTTTCCTTATCTTGTCCTCCACGAAAATCACTCCCACCTTGACCTGTATAACCTCGTTCCTGATCTTATCTCTCCTACGCCCATACATGCATCCTAGCATCCTCATCTCCATTACCTTCATTTTTTGGATGTGTACATTCTTGACTGGTCAGCACTCTACCTATATAGCAATGTAGGTCTAACCACCCCTCTATAGAACTTACCTTTAAGCCTTGGTAACACATTCTTATAACATAATACTTTTGACACAAGCTTCCACTTCACCCACCCCGCGTCAACACGATGTGTGATATCATTGTCAATCTCCTTGATTCCTTAGATTATAGACTCAAGATGCTTCAAACTTCCTCTCTCGGGTACGACTTTTGTATCGATCTTCACTTCCATCTATGCTTTATGCATTACGTCACTGAACTTGTACTCCAAGTACTCTGGTTTAGTCCTGCTTAACCTGGAAACTTTAGATTCTAGGGTTTGTCTCCAAACTTCCAACCTATCGTTAACTCAAGCATGCGTTTCGTCAATCAATATTATGTCATCTATGAATAATATACATCACGGCACCTCTCTTTGTATATGTAGTGTCAATTCATCTATCACTAACACAACTAGGACTGGGCTAAGGGTCGATCCCTGGTGCAACCCCATCAAAGTCAAGAAGTGTTTTGAGTCACCTCCCACTATCTTACCCTAGCCTTGGCTCCATAGTTGATAGTACATGTCCTAAATTACCCTAATGTAGGCCACAAGTACATTTCTAGACTCCAAACACCTCCATAGACCTCCCTAGGAACTTTATCGTATGCCTTTTCGAGGTCAATGAACACCATGTGTAAGTCTTTCTTCCTAACCCTGTACTACTCCAACAATCTCCTTACAAGGTAAAAACTTATTAGGAAGTTATAAAGCAAGGTAAGGTAAGTTGCTCGACTCGAGTGTGGGTGAAAGTTACGGGTGTGGATCTAGAGGTTGGATCCTCAATGATCTAGATTTTAAGATTTGGGGATACGGATCCATATATGGATATGGCTGCGGGGATTCGGCTAAAAATAATTCATATATCTAAAATTTAAAAATAGAATTATATGACCTAAATTATGAGATATCATGTGGAAAACTTGAGGAGAATCTTGGAAGGTAATTAAAGGACAGTGAGTGACTATAGAAATTTATATATACAAGGTATTCCATATTCTTCAATTTTACTTAGTTTTTGTTTTGATTACAGAAAGCGGATATGGATCCCACACCCATGTGTCAACATGGGTGCGGCACCGAAAACTAAGAGTCCGAGCAACTTAGGAGCAGCGTATATGAACAACGTTTTTTTCTTGCTCTTATCTTAAAAACTTAGATTCTAGTTAAAAGTATTGGAACTCTGAGCTAAACCCTCTTCATGAAGATACCAAGCAGAATATGACAAGGTGAATATAGGGTTGTTTGCTCACCTAATTCAACAGTAAAAACTAGAATGTACCAATAGACTAGAAATTATTTTTCTGGGTAAACCGTAATAAGTATACTAGTCATCAAACATATTTCAGTAATCCAAACAATACCTAATAAATGCTATACTATTTCAAGTAAAGTTCAGTTCTGTTTCTTGTATAAAGAATTAATTTTAATTTCCATTTCCATTTAATAGTTACCATTTCTATTTATTAGAAAACCCCAACATTAAATCTGAATAGTTGTAAACATGTTAATACTCATAATTTGCACCTTAGTTTCATATCGAATTGCCACCTCAATTTTGTTTTGAAATATATCAAAATTCACAAAACTCATCCTTTTAACTCTTACAGCTCAACAACTCAAACAGATTTCAGATTTTGGTGTATCTAGTTTTCGTCTTTATCAAACATAACCTAAATCTCGGCAAGAGAAGTGGACAGTATATTTGAACTATTGTCACATTTTAACCATTTTTCTAATAGATGTCTTCCCTAAAACACAGCAAATAAGCACAGATATCAAACATTGAGGTTAGTTTTAAATGGATAAATTCCAGAATGAGCCATGAGGCATGCAAAAGAGGCTACTTCTATGTCAACGAGCTGTAAATAGCAAGCAGCAAACTCTAAGCTTACAATATAAAGCTAGCTAATCATAAAAATGACTATCCTTTTACAAGAAATATGAATTGTTTAGTATTCCTAATTTATTAGTAACTTAAATTTACACAAGTCAGTTATTTGCTGAGCTGATAAAAGCGCATAGGGAGATCACAACTTCAGTTCAACCTCGTCAAACTACTTGATGATTCTTAAGTTCGGTTTTGTCATACAAGTTGAACACAAGGCCCCAAGCATCAAAACTTATATATTCAACATTCGAAGCATTATGGCCACTAAAAGTACGTGATTACCCATCAATAGACAGGAATGATTATGTTCATATTCGAGACCACCTTTCCATGGCACTCAAAAGGAGATAATGGAAAAAAAGAACTTTCACGAAGTCAGATGACTGCTTCTAAATCCAACTTTAACAAGTTAATGATCTGAAATTCATAAGGCAGTGTCTATTAAAGAGCAAAATCATTCACTCCTAAGTTCATTATGTTTTTATACAAATTCCATACTCACAATATCAAACCGAAGATTTTTACCAATCCATTCAACAGAAGCAGTAAAGCGCTCTCTGTCACCAAGCAAAGCCAAGGTGTCCAATGAGTCAATCTGTAAAAAAGCACATGATCGGAACACTTACTATATGTTTACCAAGAAAAACTAGTAGTCTAACAAAAAAGCTGTCTTGTTACCAATGTTAAGGCATAGCCACCAAGTGTGTCTTCTCCTCCACAAGATAAAGGCCTTAACTCATCGCGTGGAAAAGCATGGTTCATGTATCCGTTAAATGCATGGTAGAACATCTCACGCACCTAAAAAGTACCGAAACATCACAAATTTTTAATCACGTTATTAATTTTGAAATCGAAAGGGAAGGTAAAACAGAAAAAAAATGAACAAGATATTATCTACCCAACTTTCTGTCACGTTTTTTATCCTTAACCACCCAACTTCCGAACTAGGATAAAAGGGCGAGATTAATAGTAAAAGCAGATATAATAATGTGAGGCTGGAAGGAAAGAGAAATACTTCTTCCCCTTCTACAAAAAGGGTACCAATTGTTTGGATTTCCAAACGAGAAGTTCAATGATGGACCCTTCAACATCAATCACCATGCCACTGTCTATTCCTAGCTCTTAATACTTATTCCTTTCACATTTCTCTATGATATCTTCAGTAACAATTCCCCTTCAAACGGAAGCTTTCTCATTATAACGAATACATTTTTATCTCAAATTGACACCTGCTCCATCCATTGAAATTTTATGAAACGTGAGATATCCTCCGTTAATTCAACTTAAAAATTCCTATCGGAGAGCTGTCAGTCGATTCTCAAAACAAATAATTTTATGCAGCGATCAATTGTATCAATCAAAGAACACTTCACACAACTACATTTGGAACTAAAAGAAGCAATCAATAATTGAACTTGATGATCAACATTTCAAAACGTCGAAATTTTTTGTCGATCTGCTTGTGAACAATTGATAAGGAGAAGAGGAATAAGGTTACCTCATCTCTGAGCTCTTTGGCTTCTTCATGAGTGACGCCATCTCCGAGGGATTTGCCGATAAACAAGTCGCAAGGAATCAGCAAAATCAACAGCAATAACTTCGGAGCTTCCATAGTCTCACACTCTTCCTCCTTCTTCTCTCTCTCTCTGCGCGAATATATATCCTATGTGAATCCCACTTACCAGCATTTCAGGTAAATGATAAAACGGCCCTCAAACTTAAACGAAATTGCATTCTCCTACTCAATCAGTAAATTTCCTAAAAAGTCATCCATATCCATATTTGGAAAATTGTCTAAGAATATTATTTTTATTTCTTTTTTTAGATTATAATAAGTAACACTTATGACTTAACTATTTTTATTTTTATCAGAATATACGTAATAAAAACATCTTTTCTCTAGGATGACCTGTCACATTATTTTCTATTTTTTTAACAATAAATTTTTAAACTTTTTATACCCAATAAAAATTTATTACTTTTCCATATTGTTAAAACAAATTTTTTGTTGTTAAAAATGTCATGTCATATTTTTAACTCCATCTACTTTTAATAAATTTACTTTTGTTTGTTTATTATGTTAAAAATTAAATTAAATTTGTATTTATCTATTTTATTATATCATGAGAAAGATAAAAAGGACTTAAAGAATGATTGATTTGACAAATGGTTTAGAATAAATAATTGATGTTAAACGTAATAATAGGAAACTAAATTGTTTTTCTCTTGATATGCTAAAGTGAACAACTAAAAATAGAAAATAATTTAGAATGAATAATTAATTCTAAAAGTAAAAATAAAATTTATTTTTATTTTTCTCTTGATATGGTAAAATAGATAAATATAAATGCTATTTTTTCAAATATAATAAATAAATAAAAGGAAAATTATTAAAAGTAACAGAATTAAAAAAAAGTGACATGGCATTTTTAACAACAATATTAGAAATTCCTTTTTTTAACAATATGGAAAATAATAATTCTTTTATTGGGTATAAAATATGGATGATCTAAAAGTGTTAGAAAATTGTTATTAAAAAAACGAATAATGTGGCATGTCATCTCATTAGAAGAGAGAAGTGTGTTTTTATTGTGTCATGTATATTTTGAGGAAAATAAGAATAATTGGGTGACATTTTAATCCTCAAAAGAACAAAAGTGATATTTCTAGGCAATTTCTCAAACATGGATGTTTGTTCATTTACTCTCTACTCTACTTAGTTGGCCACTTGGCCTTTCTTTTTCCTTTATAATTTTTGATTTCTTACTTGGTGTATGGTATTCACATTAGAGATCAATTTGTCATGCATCAAGCCTACATGATCGACACATGTATGGTACTCATAACATGGTATGAAACATTATCATACATCTAGACATAAGCGGAAACATATTTTAAAATCATTTAAAAAAGCAAATCCTGTTTCAAAATTGAAATACATAACTAATTGTTTATTTATGAAGTCTTTAACATGATTGGTGGCTTATTTGTTTTCATTAAAGGATTAAGACGTTTGAATCTCAATGCATTGATAATGCACAAAAAGTGTTTGAATTGACTTATTTTAAATAGACTTGGTTTTTTAACTTTTAAGCTCTTTTTTTAATTTAGAAATTATTTGGAAAATACAAAAAGTGTTTTAAGCACTTTTTAGGCTAAAAAGGCCAAAAGTTGAATTAAAAAAAATCAATCCAAATAGTCTCCTAAAGGTCGAAATCTGAATGAATATTTAGATGTTGAATGAAAATTTGAATACTAAATAGTTAAGATTTTTTTTCTCAACATCTGAATATATAAAATTTGTATTTGTTTAAAAAATAATAAATATAAAATTCAAATAAATTACTAAATTGATTAAATATTATATTAATAAAATATTTTAAATTTTTTTATAAGGCAATTGATGGTGGTGATGTCTAATAATGATGATTGTGTGTGTCGATTTGGAATGATGATGGTTATGGATAATATCTTATAGTATAGTGGTTGACAATATTGATCAACCGTGGTTATTATTGATGGTGGATGATAACTAGTAGTGAAATGATATTGATAGTTAACTGATGATGGTGATGAAGGATGATGAACAATTAGCAATTATAATGTTGGTTGAAGGTGGTATCGATAGAAATTAGTGGACGTAATAATAGTTGGTGGTGATGATTACAAATGATGATTATATTAGTGATGACAATTGATTTTGGTGATTGGGGGTAATGGTAATTGCTGTTAGGCTAAGGATGGTGGTTGTGGGTGGTAGTTGGTGGTGCTAATTGACGGCGGTGGTAGTTGTGATTGAAATGGTGTGTGTAAGTGGTGGGTGAACGAAGATGAAATAGTAGTGAACTATCATTTTTGTAGAAGTTTTTTAAATAGACATCTTAATGATATTAAAATTTTGTTATAAATCTTAATAATTCAAAGGGCAAGTTTTAAATATATACAACAAATATAAACATATTTTTATTTACATAAAAAGATGGTCAAAAGTCACAAGAAATATACACTGAATATACAATATAGTCTGTCAAAAATCATAGAATGTATATACACCCATTATACAATACAACTTGCCTATACATGAGCTATACACTGACTATACAATATGATACACTCAAAAAGTTGAATACTTAACTGTACATTAAGTATACAGTGACGAATGCAATCTCGATCAACTTAAAATAACCTCTAAATAGTCCCAAAATTTAGATATGAAATCTTCTCGATGTTTCGAGTTTTTCGATATATAATTCGCTCGAAAAGAAGAAGCAACAACAACCATTAGTGACGAAATTGAAAGGAAGAAGAATAGTATTTGACCGGTTTTGGTAATTTTGGAAATTGGGCTAAATTTTGTGTAAAGAAAACGACCGAGTGGCCCTTTTGCATAATTTTCCATAATTCAAATTATTTAGCCTCGTTAAGTGATTGTGAAATAAGAAAAAACAAACACATTTGATAATAAAAATTTAAATGATTAAGATTTAATTTTAAAAACAAACTATCGAAGATTTGAATAATTAACATTAAGTTGTTCATTAAATACAAATAAATGAGGCCCGAGTAATGTCTACCGAAACAAGACCCTAGCATACCTTCCCAACACTTAAACTGCATGCAAGTCTTTCAAATGTATACTTGTATCTAATTAAGAGTTAATGATCATAATATACACATGTATCTAATTAAGAGTTTATGATTCTGATAAAGTTTACAGATATTTGAATTAATATTATATTTATCGATGGGAAAAGATTTTTCATGCTTGAAAAAAAAAGTGAAGAAATATAAAAATAAATTGAGAAATTTAGAGAATAATGTGTGATTTGCTCCTAAATTGACGTGTTTAAGTTACAATCCATATTTATAAACACATAATTAGATGTATCTGCTTAGCATATATCTGGGCACACCGGATACATATATCTGAGGATCAAAATATAATAAACGAGGAACTTACAAAAATAACTATAGTTTAAATATAGACATAAAATGTAGCCTCTTTTTTTTGAAAATATCATACTTATAACTATTCCAATTTAATAACCCTAAAACTGTAGTCATTTTTGTAAGTTCCTCTTTAATGACCTTTTGGGCCGAAAATTCTTTTTGAATGTGACTTATGTTGGGCCGTAATCATTGGGTCAAAAGCATTGAGAAGACGAGCCGGATGATCTTGTATTTTTTCCCACTACATATTTAGATATATTTCACTACTATATATATTATTATCACCTATAATTTCAAAATATTCTATCTTAGCACTAAGTATATTGAGAAAAATACACTTAAATACATGTATTTTCGCTATCCGATACACAAAAATAGGGAAAGAGGTGAGCGAGATTTATATGTATCCTAGATACATGTGAATCACACTAGATACATACATGTGTCTATACATATCTGGTGGGAGATTGGCGAGCTAGATGGGAGAGAGGAGATCGATATTTGTTATGTCTCCCTGGTACATGCGAATTTACTTGGATACAATGTATCTAGAACAAATTATACCTAATTTTGACCCCATGTATCTCTAGATACATGTATCTGAACGTATTTAGACACGCTAAAATTTGATAACATACGTAACATTACAAACTAAAGTATATCTAAATAATTAATTCCTAAACTAGTGGAATTTAGGTAAGTTCCCTTTTTCCAATGAGTATTAAACTCAACCCTTTTGGTAATCATTTCTTAACTTTCTTGAGAAAAAGAAACAAATTTTAGCTTCATTTGGTGTTTGATTTTTGTATTGGAGTACGATTATTCTAGACTTGTGTTGCGTAAGGTTCCATTTGAGGGCAACCTGGCAAGCGGTTCCTATTAAAGATTTTTCCATTCCCAAGACTCGAACCTAAAATTTCTAATTAAGAAAGGAGCACTCGCATCCACGGTATCATATTTTTTGGTGGTAAGAGGCTAGCTAGTTAAAGAGTTAATTTATTTTTTTTGCAGAAGGAAATTTTAGCAACTAGCTCCTTGCTAGACCCCTATGAACTTTGGCCTCTATTTTGAACAATTAAAGTTTTCATTAAACTCGCGCCGATACAAAAGTTGACAATTCTATTTTCGTACTTATGAATTAAGGACCATATATAGTTTTCTCAAATGCCTTTTAAGAATTAATGAAAAGCTATCAAGTAGTTAATACGGGAGTAATCCCACAACTATTTAGGGTTTGTTGGGTAGGACAAATATATTTTTACATCATATTGATATGAGAAAAAAATAATGTAATTTTTAGTATTTTTTATACATTTTTTTAAATATCTAAATTTAATTTTTAAAATATCGAATCAATCTAACATGATATAGCTTTTAAAATAAATTAAATTAATTGTTGAAATATAAAATGTGACAATTATTTTGGAATGAAGGGAGTACTACCAATCTTGCGTACTAAAACTTTCAATATAACGCTATCCGATTTGATGATAGTACTATCCCTCTTTCATAAACTTTTATTTATCAATCAAACTCTGGAAAATAAGTGAAAACCATTTGCTGGTGAGGAGTGAATTTAAATCACCAAAAATCGCATAAAGAAATCAAATTGAGGTTTATTGTATCAAATTTTGAAAGTTTGGTATTTGATATTTACTTTTAATTATCAAACTATTAAAATTGAACTTGGAAAATATTAAATTGAATATCGAACGTCCACCCTAAAATCATGTATCTGCCTTTTATTTATGGCAACAATTGTCATGTTAGATATTTACTTACTAGGTGTGAATAGTAATAGTAAATTCTACGATTATCATTAAGTATCTAAGTATATCATAGCTAATTAATCTAACCAAATTCCCCAAAAACCCAAATTTAAAAACTTTGACTACTTATTTACTTTTAAGCATGTGGTCGGTTAAGAATTATTTATCATGCATATATATATGGAAAACATTAACGAGTAATATGAATGTCTTAATTGACTTGTGACATCAAATTTATAATATTAAGGCTTGAGATCAGTAGATCTATATATCATTTATATGTATTTTTTCTTAAAGCTAACATATTAAATGCTAGATAAATTATGAACATATAGTGTCAAGATATTGTTTTTTTATACTTAATTACCGTATCAAAATTTATTGATGAAATATGAATGGTGATTTCATTTTAAATATTATCTCAGCTTTGCCATTTTTTCATCTCAAATAATAATTATAATTTTGAAATAAATATTATTAGTGATAAAATCTAGCTCCATATAATGGTGATTTTATTATTAGTGATAAATTTTACTTTGCTTATTTTCTTAATAATAAAATCATAAAATTGAACACATATAAAATATACGTCTCATAAATCTATCATCTATGAAACGTATGCCTAGTATTTCGAAGATTAAATCTAGCTCCATGTATCATAAAATTTCTTGTCTCACACCCCCACTTTTTGAAACACGGATACGCTTGTGGACTTTGCACTTTAAAGTTTCTGTTTTTAATTATTACAATGTCTTAATTTTAATTATCTTCTAACTTTTTATATATTTTTATTCGTGGAAGAGAATGAATTTAAAATTACACATATTAAATAAGTGCACTTTGCCGATATAGACGTGTTGTGTCAATTGAAGTTACAATGGTGAAATTTTTTTCAAATTTTAATAAATATTTTTGAACTCAAAATTTCTATATTATAATATTTAATACTAAAAATCTTAAAGGTTAAATCTATAATTTAAACACAGATTCATCTCTAATTGCAATACTTATACAAAAACATAAAAGTCGCATTTTTAATTTTTGGTCCTGAATCAAGAAGCATATGGTGGGTGGACGTTCGGTACTATTCAATTTGATACTTTTAAGAGTTTGATTTCAGTAATTGACAATTAAAAGTAGATATTAAATATAAAAAAAGTTCAGTTCGATATGTTAAAACAATTAAGCCTAATTTTGTGTGATCACATTATGTTATTTTTCACTTTCGCATTATTTTCTACTTAATTAACTCCATTAGACATCTACACCTTAGATATCTAGCTAGTTCGTTCACAACAACCTTTTTTCTATTATTCTCCATCTACATTTGTTCTTTTTTATGGTAAGAAATGGAAACTCAATACTTAAAAGTTAATATAGATATAACGGACTTTAGCATTGCATTTATAATTATAGTATCAATTAATGCATGACAAACTATAATGTAATAGGAGGGCGGTTGAGTGGAACTAAACAAGGTTTTTCCTATCGTGAATAGCCGGAAATTTGTGTTATACAACATGATTTTTTTCACTTACTAAACTAGCTCACTGGAAAAAATGCATGGCAAAAAACATATTTTCACCGAAATAGTGGAGAACTTTCTAATTTTTTATATGAAATTTTTTCTATTTTTTCTTTTTTCTCACTTAGTCAATCAAAATATCTGTGAAAATAGCCGCCTACATTTTTCAGGCGGGAAATTAATGATTTTTTAGTAGTGTGCACAAGTCTATTTAATTTTTCACATTTTAAATCTACAATCTTGATCTACTTGGGAAACTCATCATACTCAATTCTTTCTTGTTTTGCCAATCAATCCTCATCTCATCTATTCTCCAAAAGCAATGGCAGAAAATGCTCCTAATTTACCCAATTTTCTTCTCTCCGTTAGACTCAAATATGCAAAACTTGGATACCATTACTTAATTTCAAATGCAATTTATCTCCTCATTGTGCCAATTCTTGTTGCCATGCTACTTCATCTTTCAACTCTTACTATTGAAGACCTCATGAACCATTTTGCCATGTTGAAATCTTGCTCAACTCTTGTTGTTTTCTTCGCCACGGTATACTTCATGAGTCGTCCCAGAAACGTTTACTTAGTCGATTTTTCGTGTTACAAGCCACATGAACGTTTTATGATGTCTAAACAACTTATGATAGAAAATATGTCAAACATATTTGATGAAGAGAGTTTAATGTTTCAAAAGAAAATTTTGGAGAGGTCAGGTTTAGGTGATAAGACGTACATTCCGATAGATACAATTCCGTTTAAATATACGTTTAGTAGTTACCTAAATGAAGCAGAGGAGGAAATATGTGGTGCCATAGATGATCTGTTGGCGAAAACGAGAGTGAAGATTGGAGATATTGGGATTATTATTGTGAATTCTAGTGCGTTTAATCCATCGCCTTCTCTTTCTTCCATGATTGTGAACCATTATAAGCTTGGAGTCAATGTGATAACTTATAACCTTGGTGGCATGGGCTGCAGTGCTGGACTCATTTCTGTCGACCTAGCTAACCGGCTTTTACAGGTTCGTAATTCTTCATACAAATTAACAGAAACAAGTCGTATATAATTCTCAATTACTGATATATAAAATGATATAATTACAGGGGCAAGCTAATACGTATGCACTTATAGTAAGCGCAGAAATAGTCTCAAGTGCCTTCTATATAGGGAAGCAGAGATCAAGGCTTTTACCAAATTGTCTTTTCCGGATGGGTTCATCTGCTATTCTTCTTTCAAACCGTTCCTCTGATCGTCCACGCTCCAAATATCAACTGATGCACGTTGTCCGCACCCATAAAGGTGCGGATGACAGAGCTTATAGATGTGCCTATATAGATGAGGATGAAAATGGAAAGAGAAGCGTGTTGTTGTCAAAAGACTTGATGGCAGTTGCTGGTGAGGCTTTAAAAACTAATATCACAACTCTCGGCCCTTTAGTCCTCCCAATGTCCGAGCAGCTACTCTTTTTCGCCTCATTAATCGCGAGAAAGGTCTTTGAGAGGAAAATGAAACCATATATCCCTGATTTCAAAATGGCGTTTGAGCATTTCTGTATACATGCAGGGGGGAGAGCTGTGCTGGATGAGCTTCAGAAGAATCTTGACCTCCCGGAATTTCTTATGGAGCCTTCAAGAATGACTCTTTATAGATTTGGAAACACTTCAAGTAGCTCAATTTGGTACAATTTGGCCTATTCCGAGGCAAAAGGGAGGATAAAGAAGGGTGACAGAGTATGGCAAATTGGTTTTGGATCAGGCTTCAAATGTAACAGTGTAGTGTGGCGTGCGCTGAGGGCTGTCGATGCAGCCAAACAAAAGAACCCTTGGACAGATGAGATTCAGGATTTCCCTGTTCATCGATCCCATCTTGATGCTTAAACAGTATATGATGGTCAATAACTGAAACTACAGAACACAATCAATATTATTGCTCTAGTTTGCACCTAAAATTTTGTAATTTTAGTCATGTGGAGCACCAATAAGTTTTTCGAATTTGGATATCTCCAAGACAATAATGATGATGATGAAGTAGAGGCTTGCATCTAGAGTAGTAGACAGTGGAGTGTTAAACTTGCTTTACGTACGAGGGTTTAGGCATGCATGCGCTGGTGTGTTTGTCTGTTGTTTAAATGTGTTTCGATTTAGACTATTTGCTAATCTTGTTCTTTTCTTGTAGGATTTGTACTGTTTCCCTTGTTAGTTGCTATGTTTTTTTCCCACTGTCTTGTTGTTAAATTTCATAACAATGTAGAAAAGATATCATATTCTCTCCAATTGATGGCATCGTTCTTACCATTTATGTGGAAATGATTCATCAGATGTTGCCTAATAATCTTTAGTCTCTTGTGGCAACAGAGATGAATTCCTATCTTGTTACCATTGCGACCCTGAGAATTGTTCCCCTTCTTGTCTATTATCTCTATTGCCTTTAGCGACATTTATTTATTTTATTTTATTTTTCCTTTAGCGACATTTACATAGAGGGTTGGCATATTTATTAATTATTACCGTGGGGCGTGGAATATAATATTGTTGTCACTTAATAATTGACACTAAATCCTTTACTTGTTATAGTGTTAGTTAGTGATCATAGGGAGCTAACTCCTTGACTAAGCAAAAGTGTTTCCCATTTGGAACAACTAATAAGTAAAAAATCATCAAGTAGAAAGAGGCATGACTGCGGGGATATGAACTGGAAAGTCCTGAATCTCATCAGTCTACGAATATTAAAAAATGAAAATTTTAGTTTAGATTCACTTACATTATATATTACAAGTTAAAAATTGGCCTGAATAGTCGATTTTCAAGGTCTCTCATATTCAAAAGAAGAGTTTTATTTTTAGTCATTTATTTTGATTTATACTAATTCATTACTAACACTTTTACTAAGTGTTTTTATAGGTATACAAAATTGCTTCCCAAAGAAGACATTCGAATAATATTCTTTGATTTATTATTATATATATTATTGATGTTAGGCAAATATTATGTCGTTTCTCATATTGTTGCTTTACTTTATTTTTTGTGTGTATATTCATGTTTAGCATACTTGTGCTATTGTGCAATTATTTTTGTATCCTACTCAAATTGAAAAAATGAGTTAAGTCAAGACCGCAATTATAGATTCTGAAGAGTGCTAATACCTTCCTTTTGGGATCACTTGAACCTTTATCTAGAATCTATTGGTTTCGTATATTAATTAATTAATTTCCTAACTATCCTAAAACTAGGTGGCCACTATACATTTTTCTAAAATTCTTTTAAATTTAATTTAATTGAATTATTTTTTTAATGAGTCCCACGATGTTGCACCTTATTTATAAAAATAGGGATGTCAACATATACGAGATTATAGTAACCTTTCATTAATTTTCATTTAGATAACGATAAAAAAAATCTAATAAAATAGAAAGTATATTTATTTCTTAGTCTTGTCGAATTGAAGTAGGATAAATATATTCTAATTTAAAAAATCATCATTAGTAAAAGAATGTGTTTAAAAAGAAAATAAATAATATATTTATTTGAAAAGGAGTATTTTTGACCCATTAAATAACAATAAGGACATTTTTGGACCAAATTATCAACTAAGGACATTTTTATTCATTTTACATAGTTTAAAGATATTTTTGACTTTTTTTATCGAAGAACAAAATACTCTATTTCTAAGATTTTAATTATTTGATTAAATATGCAATTGCAAATTATTAATAATCATTATAGACAGTTAAATCTATCTATATATTTGTAAATTAGTGTTGTTCTGATCATATAAAAGTTATTATTTATGATTTTATTCAATTAAAATTATATATGCTATTAGCATTTTTATATATAATTTTTTTATAATGTTTGGGCTTGAGAGTGATAATCTAACACATATATATGTGTGTGAATTCTCTAAAAGCTAACATGTCAAATGTTGGATAAATTATAAACATATTTTGTCAAAATATATTTTCCTTCAATATGTAATTACCAATTTTCATATCGAACTTGAGGATGGTTTCATTTTAAAAATTATTTCGACTACTATTATTTTTTCGTCTCAAATAATACGTATTATTTTTTCGATATTATTAGTGATTTATTTGAATTTATTTGCATAATTATTACAAATTTTACTTTTACTTATCTACTTAATAATAAAATCATAAATTAAAAATCCATGACATATACGCTTCACAGATTCATGAATTTACTCCTTATATTTCACCTTATTTTATCTCACCTCACGCCCCACGTTCTAAAACACGAATAGGCATACTAGTGAAGCGTTTAGGCTTTATAATTGTGGGCAGCCTGTGGCTTGTGGACTTTGCTCTTTAAAGTTTCTGTTTTAATTACTTCAATTTCTTAATTTTAACCATTAAATATTTTCTGGAAAAATAGTGAATTTTTTTTAGTAGTGTGGACAAGTCTATTTTAATTTCCACTCTTTAAATCCATTAATGTTGATCTACTTGGGAACTGATCAATTATTTCTTGTTTTACCCATTAATCCTCATCTATTCTCCAAAAGCAATGGCAGAAAATTCTCCTAATTATGCACAAGTCCATCAAATCAAATATGTAAAACTTGGATACCATTACTTAATATCAAATGCAATTTATCTCCTCATTGTTCCAGTTCTTGTTGCCATGCTACTTCATCTTTCAACTCTTACTATTGAAGATCTCATGAACCATCTTGCCATATTGAAATCTTGTTCAATTATTGTTTTTTTCTTAACCATGGTATACTTGATGAGTCGTCCAAGAAATGTTTACTTGGTCGATTTTGCGTGTTACAAGTCACATGAACGTTTTATGATGTCTAAACAATATCTGATAGAAAAATTGTCCGATATGTTTGATGAAGAGAGTTTAATGTTTCAAAAGAAAATTTTGGAGAGGTCAGGTTTAGGTGATAAGACGTACATTCACAACGATGACAATGGCTCAAGTATGCCATTTAAATTTTCCCTTAGTAGTAACCAATATGAAGCAAAAAATGTTATAATTGGTGCTATAGATGATCTGTTGATGAAAACAACGGGAGTGAAGATTGGAGATATTGGGATTATTATTGTGAATTCTAGTGCGTTTAATCCATCGCCTTCTCTTTGTTCCATGATTGTTAACCATTATAAGCTTGGAGTCAATGTGATTACTTATAATCTTACTGGCATGGGCTGCAGTGCTGGACTCATTTCTGTCCACCTTGCTAACCAGCTTTTACAGGTTGGTAAATTTAAAGTTGATATAAATGTTGGTTGACGGAAATATATTTTTTCATTTCAATCAAAATTACTCGAACAACATTGTTGGTACAAAATGTAAATAGCCTTTACATAACAGGGGAAAGGCAACACGTATGCACTTGTAGTAAGCACAGAAATAATCTCAACGGCCTTCTACTTAGGGAAGCAGAGATCAAAGCTTTTACCAAATTGTCTTTTCCGGATGGGTTCATCTGCTATTCTTCTTTCAAATCGTTCATCAGATCGTAGATGCTCCAAATATCGACTGATGCACATTGTCCGTACCCATAAAGGTGCGGATGACAGAGCTTATAGATGTGCCTACCAAGAAGAGGATGAGGATGGAAAGAAAGGCGTAACATTGTCAAAAGACTTGATGGCAGTTGCTGGTGAGGCCTTAAAAACTAATATCACAACTCTTGGCCCTTTAGTCCTCCCAATGTCCGAGCAGCTACTCTTTTTCGCCTCATTAATCGCGAGAAAGGTCTTTAAGAGGAAAATGAAACCATATATCCCTGATTTCAAAATGGCGTTCGAGCATTTCTGCATACATGCAGGGGGGAGAGCTGTGCTGGATGAGCTTCAGAAGAATCTTGACCTCCCGGAATTTCTTATGGAGCCTTCAAGAATGACTCTTTATAGATTCGGAAACACTTCAAGTAGCTCAATTTGGTACAGTTTGGCCTATTCCGAGGCCAAAGGGAGGATAAAGAAGGGTGACAGAGTATGGCAAATTGGTTTTGGATCAGGCTTCAAATGTAACAGTGTTGTATGGGGTGCGCTGAGGACTGTCGATGCAGCCAAAGAAAAGAACCCTTGGACAGATGAGATTCAGGATTTCCCTGTTCATCTCCCATGTTGATGCTTAAATAGTATATAATTCAGGGAAGTGGAGACATCGAGGATGATGAAGTGGTGGCTTCCATCCGGAGTACGTAGTAGACAATGGAGTGTAAACTTGCTTTTCAAGGGTTTAGGCCTACTGGTGTTTGTCTGTTATTTGTTGTGTTTTGATAATCGTACTATTTACTATTCTTGTTCCTTTCTTGTAGGATTAGTATTGCTTCCCTGGTTAGTTGCTATGTTTTTTTTCCCAGCACAATGATCTCTCAGATTTAGTCGTTGATTGTTGAAAAGAAGAAGATGAATCCTCACACTTTATACCAACTTCCGATTATAATCTGACAATGAAACATATGGTGGTGTCGATTTCTCTGCCTTTAGATATAGGTAGTCTATCATCAGGTCATGAATTAATATTTTGTGTATGTTCATGAGAGACAGAGACTGATATAAAGAAATTCCCGTTTGATGAAAAGGGTGTATGTGACCAATTTTTCTAACGGTAGGAATATATGCGAGTCACTTTTGTAACGGTAGAGGTGTGTGAGTCACTTTTGTAACAAGGGGTATATCAACTTTAAATAGCAAAATTGAGGGGTATATAATACCCCTTTCCCTTTTATCATTAACATAATCTATCATAACTGGTAATGAACCTATCCACTACGACGAAAGACACATTTAGTAGTGGCAGTAGATTTTTCTAGTTAGCATTGAGTTAATACCATTGTATTCATAATACTAAAAGCCTTTAGCAACATTTACATTAGAGTGTTGGTTATAAATGTCCTTTTTTATTATTACTGGTAAACAATACAATTATATTATTTCCCATTTGGAACAACTAACAAGTAAATATTCAAACAGAAAGAGGCATGACTAGAGGGACATTAACCGGAAAGTGACGAATCTCATCAGTCCAGGGATTTTTCTCCATAGCAGGATTAATAGTCTTCAGGGCATGCCAAACAACACTGTTGCATTTGAATCCTGACCCGAAACCTATTTGCCATGCTCGATCGCCCTTCTTTATCCTCCCTTTCGCCTCAGAGTAGGCCAATTCATACCACACCGAGCTACTCGATGTGTTTCCAAACCTGTAAAGCGTCATTCTTGATGGCTCCATATGCCATTCCGTGAGGTCAAGATTCTTCTCCATCTCATCCAACACTGCTCTTCCTCCAGCATGAATGAAGAAATGTTCAAACGCCAACTTGAAGTCCGGGATATAAGGCTTGATATTCTTCAATTTAAAAAATTTTCTAGCAATTAAATACCCAAAATATAGAAGTTGCTCGGACATAGGAAGGACTAATGGCCCGAGAGTCGTTATATTTGATTTGAGAGTCTCTCCAGCTACGACCATTGGGCCTTTTGAGAGCGATATGCCAATATTTCCATCTTCATCTTGTTCTTGATATATACTTTTGAATGCCCTGTCATCAACTCCTTTATGTGTACGCACAACGTGCATAAGTTTATATTTGGAACGACGAGAGTCTGAGAAGCAGTTAGAGAGGAGAATGGCAGCAGCACCCACACGAAAAAGACAGTTTGATACAAGCTTTGATTTATCCTTTCCAAGATTGTAACCAGAGTCGGTGCTTTCTGTGCTAACTACCATCGCATAGGCACTCACTTGTGTCTGTTTTACAATTTTCGATAGAACAAACAAGTTATACAAATAACACACGAAAAATCTTTACAGAGTCATGTTCTTCTATTCAAATTGCAAAAATCTATATATGTTGAACCAGTTCCTCCTGATAATTCTGAAACATAAAATTCCGATAAGTACTTTTTTGAGAGAGTTTTTCTAGAGCAATTTTGAAGAAAACAAAATTCATTTACTTGATATACAAATATTTGAAAAAAATCACAACTACTCAACATGTTTGAATTTTTTGCAAAAACTGTTTTCCAAGAAAAAGAAAACGTTAGACGAACCTGCAAAAGTCGATTTGCAAGGTCTATAGAAATGAGTCCAGCACTGCAACCCATGCCACAGATATTATAAGTGAGCACATCCACTCCAAGCTTGTAATGATTAACTATCATGGAGGATAGAGAGGGTGTTGGTGTTAGAACATCTGGCATTAGGACATCACTCAGTAGCTTAGTCGTATTAGGATCAGTAGTTTAGTCATATTAGGATTGCATTACTAATTCAGCAGTTATTATTTATTTAGATTACTTTAGTTCAGTTCGTGTAGGAGTCTTACCTGTAACTCTATTTAATACCTTGCTGCCTTCATTAATAAATATACTATTTTCAGCACACATTTAGTCTTTATATGGTATCAGGGCTCTTCACGCTCTAACGAGTACGATCAAATTTTATTTTCCTCACGTAGATCAGCAACAATGACCAATGGTAACAACAATCTCAGAGTTGTCAATGCTGATAACACCACGGGTACCAATATTATCATTCAATTCAATCCTGCATCCCAATTACCCATCAAACTAAGCGGTGGTCACAACTTCGCCACCTGGAAAGCCCAATTTTCCATGCTTATGTATGGCTACAACCTCTTTGGCCATCTCGATGGAACCACTCCGTCCCCCAGTCGCACGATTACTCTTGGCACAAATATATCTCCTAATCCTGCCTTCTTAACTTGGTTCCGTCAGGACCAACTCATCCAGAATGCCATCATGGCTTCTGTCGAACCCACTATTGCCCCTACTGTTGCTGCCGCTGACTCGGCTAAATCAGCTTGGGATGCTTTGCATACCACTTATGCGAACAAATCTCAAACTCGAGTTTTCAGTTTGCGTGATCAGCTTGCTCGTGTCACTAAGGACTCTCGCTCCATTACTGAATATCTTCACACTATTCGGTCTTTTTCAAATGAGTTAGCCACTGCTGGTGCTCTTGTTTCCAATCCTGAACTCATCGTCAAAATACTCAGTGGTCTAGGTCCTGAATTTCGTGAGATCTCTGCTGCCATTCGTGCACGCGATACGGCTATCTCCTATGAGGAACTGTTTGAAAAGCTGCTGGACTTTGAACTCTTCCTTCGCCATGAGGATGCTAAGAAACTACCTAGTACCATCACTGCTGCAGTTGCTACTCCCACCAAATTCAACTCCAATAATCGCAACAATCGTAAACAAACCAACAACTCTCAACAATGGCGCCAAAATTCGCGTCCAAGCACTCCAACACAATGGCAGTCCAATTCCAATCCGAACGGTGTTACTCGATGTCAACTATGTAATAGAATTGGCCACACTGCCAATGTTTGCCGCTCGAAGTCTCATAATCACTTTGAAGCAAAAGCCAACTATGCCTCTGGGTTTACGGCGGACACCAACCCCTGGATAGTTGACTCAGGAGCCACCCATCACATCACAACAGAGCCGCACAACCTATAGCCATACCACGGTAACGAGGATGTCTCCATGGGTGATGGTAATAAAATTCCTATCTCTCACACTGGTTCTACTAAATTAAATGCATCAAATAATGTTTTTAAGCTAACCCACACTCTGTGTGCACCTTCCATTAAACGCAAGCTTCTTTCGGTTTCTAAATTTTGTCAAGACAATCTTAAGTCTATTGAATTTTTTTCCCTTTTAACTTTGTTGTTGAAGGATCTGCAAATGCGGAAGCCACTGGTGCACGGTCGGACCAACAATGGACTGTATGAGTGGCCTGTCTCACATCCCCAAGCTCACATTATCTCCACATCCAGTCCTCTCACTACTTGGCACCAACGTCTTGGACATCCTCACTCTAGAGTTCTTAGGTTTATTTTAAATAAATTCTCGCTACCGTTTCATGAGCGAGACAAAAACTTTCATTGTAATTCTTGTTTATCTAATAAAGCTCATCGGTATCCTTTTACCCAATTATCACTGTCTAGCTCTAAACCACTTCAAATTATTTTAGTGATTTATGGGGACCATCGCCAGTCTTATCTCTTGACAAAAAGTTGTATTATTGTATTTTTGTTGATTAATATACGAAGTACACTTGGCTCTACACACTTACAAAGAAAAGTGAAGTTAAAGAGATCTTTCAAAAATTTCATCCTATGATGGAAAAACATTTTGACACCAAAATTTTATCATTGTATACTGATGGCGGAGCTGAGTATAAAAGTCTTGAATCCTATCTTTCACATCACGACATTCAACACCTCTCCACCCCACCCTATACACCCCAACGAGTTGCACTTGCAGAACGCCGACATCGTCATATCGTCGAAACTGCAAGAACACTCTTACATGAGGCGTCCCTCCCACCCCAATTATGGTCATTTGCATGCCATCACACTGTCTACCTAATCAATCGCCTTCCAACCTCTCACCTAGATAATCAATCCCCATTCCAAAGATTATTTCGAAAATCACCTGATTATAACTCCCTACGGATTTTTGGTTGTCTATGCTATCCATGGCTTAAACCATACTCCAAAAATAAACTTGAATCAAAATCTACCCCATGTGTCTATCTTGGTTTCTCATTATCCCATCACTGTCACCAGTGTTTTGACCCAATTTCTGCAAAGGTGTACTTATCTCGAGATGTGCGATTTGTTGAGGATGTATTTCCATTTAAGACATTGTTCGCCAATACTACCATTAAATCAGCTCACCTAGAATGGGCAAAAACAACAATGCCAAGTTCGTCGAACCCCACACCCAAACTTCCCATAGTTACTGATCTGCCAACTCCATCAGAAATAGCAGCAAGCACAATTCCAGATTTCCCATCACCGTCTGCTTCATCTCCAGCCCAGTCCAGAGACAACTCAAACTCACAGTCCTTATCCGACAATGCATCAGCAGCGGACGCAACAGATTCACCTCTTGCAACTCCTTCCTCTCCAGGTAAATTTTTGTCTTCCCCATCTTCAATAATTCCCACTTCCCAGAACCCCTCTTCTATATCTACTTCCCTGCGTTTAGCACTACCACACCTCCCTACAAACTTACAAACGCCGATCCCAACCAACACACAAAGCAGCTTGTCTCATCTCCGTGTCTATCAACGTAGAAACACCAACCCACCAACACCCATGGCTCCTCAACCAACCTGTCCTATCCTCGAGTTGGAACTCGCTCCTTCACCGCCTCAATGTCCGTCTCCTCCTACCCGTGCTGTCACTCGATCCCAAAACAATATCACCAAACCCAAACATATTTTTGATTACCTAGCCAAATTGAACCCCACTGTCACACCCACTACTGTCAAACAAGCACAAAAACATCCCGAGTGGCGTTATGCAATGAAACATGAATTTGATGCTTTAATTAAAAATCAGACTTGGGAACTTGTTCCTCCTGACCCAACCAAAAACATTGTATCCTGCAAGTGGCTTTTCAGGATCAAAAGAAATGCTGATGGGTCCATCGACAGATACAAAGCGCGCCTGGTTGCAAAAGGCTTTACTCAGAGACCGGGCATTGATTTTCATGCCACATTCAGCCCAGTCGTCAAGCCCACCACAATTCGCATTGTCCTCTCTGTGGCACTTCGTCACAACTGGCATCTTCACCAGTTGGATGTCAATAATGCCTTCCTCCAAGGCAACCTGGAAGAGGAAGTGTACATGGCACAACCTCCGGGGTTTACTAGTGATGACAAACCAATGCATATATGTCGGCTGCGAAAGGCGATCTATGGCTTGAAACAAGCTCCTCGGGTGTGGTACAATGCCCTCACTAGTTACCTTTCATCGATAGGCTTTGTTAAGACAAAATCTGATGCCTCACTACTAGTCAGACATGGTGTAAGTGATACATTGTTCGTTCTCGTCTATGTCGACGATATTATTATCACTGGGAGCAATATCTTAAGTGTCAATCAGGTTATCGCTTCCCTTGCTTCTAAGTTCTCTATTAAAGATTTAGGTAATCTTCATTATTTTCTTGGTGTTGAAGTGATATACTGCTCTAACGGTTTAATTCTCACCCAAACAAATTATGTGAATGAAATTTTAAATGATGAGCTAATGACCGACTACAAGAGTGTTAACACGCCAATGAGTGCATCTGAGTTACTCACCTTGTCTGATGGAACTCACTTGACTGATTCTACACGTTATCGCCGAGTCTTGGGTAGGCTTCAATATCTATCCTTCACTAGACCTGACATAGCCTATGCAGTCAACAAGCTTTCTCAATTCATGCAAGCACCATTAGACCTTCACTGGAAGGCTGTAAAACGTGTTCTTCGATACCTACGTGGTACCATTCAACTCGGCCTACACGTTACTCCTATTGATGATTTCAATCTACATGTGTACTCTGATGCAGATTGGGGTGGGGACATCGTTGATAGAGTTTCTACATCTGGTTACATCTTATTTCTTGGTCACAATCCAATTAGCTGGTCCTCAAAGAAGCAAAATACTGTCTCACGATCCTCCACTGAGTCTGAATACAGGGCTGTAGCTAATGCACTTTTTGAAACCTTATGGGTCACCAATCTCTTAAATGAGTTGCACTTTCCGGTATATCAGCTACCCACAATTTATTGTGACAATCTTGGAGCCACATTCTTGAGCAAAAATCCTGCTCTCCATAGCCGTGTGAAGCATACTGCCGTGGACTTTCACTTTGTTCGCCACTATGTTGACATCAAAAGGGTTCGTGTTGTTCATGTCCATGGCGCTGATCAAATTGCTGACACTCTCACCAAGGCACTTCCTAAATCTGCTTTTGAGTCTAATTTGTTCAAGTTAGGCTTGGTGACTCATCGCCTAACTTGAGGGGGCGTATTAGAACATCTGGCATTAGGACATCACTCAGTAGCTTAGTCGTATTAGGATTAGTAGTTTAGTCGTATTAGGATTGCATTACTAATTCAGCAGTTATTATTTATTTAGATTACTTTAGTTCAGTTCGTGTAGGAGTCTTACCTGTAACTCTATTTAATACCTTGCTGCCTTCATTAATAAATATACTATTTTCAGCACACATTCAGTCTTTATAGTTGGGTTATACAGGCCAATGTTCACTATAACTATCCCAATTTCACGAGCCTTCACTTTTGTTTTCGCCAATAAATCGTCTATGGCTCCAAATATGACTTTTTCTGTTCCCTTTCTCGATTCTTCAAACGTCATTATCTTTTCAGGGAGCCTTCTAATGCTCTCTGGAAGATACGTCTTGTCACTATAACCACTTCTCTCCAATACTTTCTTCTGTAAATGTACAGCCTCGTCTACAAAAGTTGATGACATTATGTCTAAGAGTTGTTGTTTGCTCATCATATCCGCCTCGTCTGGCTTGTAACATGCAAAATCGACCAAGTAAATGTTTCTTGGACGACCCCTGATCAAGTATAGTGCGGCGACCAAGAAAACTATAAGAATAATTGGCCAAGATTTCAGCATAAGAATAATATGATTGTTCAAGTCTTCCAAGGTTGTAAGGGTTAAAAGGTAAAATTTCAGAGCAGAAATGACTGGAATAATAAAGAGGTAAAGTGCCATTGCTATTGAAAGGATGTAGAGGAAAGGAAAGTTTGCTGTCTCTATTTATAAAATAATAAAGTTCTCAAAGGAACTGTTTTAGCCACCATTTTCATGACCAAGTTTTCACAAGTACCAAGTCACGCTAACTCACATAGTCTGATTGGTTATCTCGAAATTAATTATATGAAATAAATAAAAGGTATATCAATATTAGCATATATCAATAACCAAAGGTGGAAAAAAATGCCCCCAAATTTAATTAGCTTAATTGCTATACTTGGGGATTGTCTTATATTTTGAAAGTAATTATATAAAATATTTATTATCTTAATCATGGTTAAAACTTATCTTTAATTTATTAGATTTCAACCATTGATTTAAATTTATGACAGATGTCTCTCGTCCAAATAAGAACTTGGGGAAAAAGATGAGAGAAAGGAAATGAAGAGGAGCCAAATCTCCTAATCTTGGTAACCAAACAACATCAAAGAGTTCTAACTTAAATTCATTCATAAAAACCTCCTTAAAAAGTTGAACGAGGCATTTGCACATTGAGAAAAAAAAAGATTATCATCAATAATTGTACATGACTTATTAGTGTACTTTTGTGGGCTAAAAAAGGCTACAAAATTTGGTACGTAAAAGCAGTTACATTGTAACCCAATTTCTTTTCATCTGAGATTATATAGGTTGGTAGCTTAACAGAGTACTTTGGACAACTGCAATAGGTTGGTTACTTATCTCTTTGTACAAGTCACAAATGCACCATTACCGTAAATGGGGACATTCCCAATTTGGTTAAAAATCAATTCAAATCGAAATTCGAACCAAACAGATTAACTAAATTGATTTTTATTTGGTTTTGGTTTGAATTTAAACTATGAGATAAAAGAGGAAAATGAAACCATATTTCAAAATGGCGTTCGAGCATTTCTGCAGGGGGGAAGAGGTGTGGTAGATGAGCTTCAGAAGAATCTCTTAAGGAGCCTTCAAGAATGACTCTTTATAGGTTCAAGTAGCTCGCCTATTCCGAGGCCAAAGGTAGGATAAAGAAGGACTGCTGATGCAGCCAAAAAGGAAAACCTCTTGGACAGATGAGATTCAGGATTTCCCCGTTCGTCTCCCATGTTGATGCTAATATGTATCGATCTTAAACCGTAGATAATGTCCAATTACTGAAATTTAAGAACACAATCAAAATTGCTCCGATATTTGTATTTTGCACCTATTTTATTTTATCTATATTATCTTAAAAATATAAACTCTTAACTTGAATATTAAATTACTATAATATCTCTAACTTAGTTGTGACTTTTTCGAAGAATTGTGAATTTTTCAATAAGTTGTGCCTTTTTCGAAAGAGTTGTGACTTTTTCGATGAGTTGAAACTTTTTCGATAAGTTATGACTTTTTTCGAAGGGTTGTGCTTTTTCAATGAGTTGTGACTTTTTCGAAGAATTGTGAATTTTTCAATAAGTTGTGCCTTTTCGAAAGAGTTGTGACTTTTTTAATAAGTTGTGATTTTCCAAAGGATTGTGACTTCCCGAAAAGGTCATGACTTTTCAGATAAGACACAAAAACCATTTTTTCGAAGGACCCTTTGTTGACTATAAATAGAGGGACTTCCTCTCATTTTTCAACCACAATTTTTTTAATCATCTACTCTTCTTCTTCTTGCATTTTAAATTTTTTTGTGTGATTTATTGTCGTAGAGTGAATTTGAAGTTCAGCGAAATATGAGGTACCACTATTCTGATGAAGTAAGTCGTTCTATCCTAAGAGAGTATATTTTATAACCTCGAGTACTTGAGGAAAATTATTTTGATGATATAATAATTATTTTTTTGCTTAATATATACATTAGTATGTAATGTTCCAATATATGAAGTTAACATGATGTAGTATCAATTTATTTTGTTTTTGTTAACAATTTCTCTTGTGATGTAGATATATGTTTTTGAATAGCTTTTGCAAAATTTAGAGAATTGTCACGATTTGTTTTTGATGCTCAAAACAAAAGAATGACTTTATTTCGCTACTAATGTGATTTAGACTCTCATGAATTTTTCTTCAAAATAGTTATTACTATATAAACATTGCCCTTTTGTTTTACTTATTCACTATTTCTTAATATTTCAGTATTTTAGACAAAGAAAAGTTCATATGACTTGTAATAACGTCAGTTGAAGTTTTTATTAGTTTAATTTTTGTTATTTATATAATAGTTAATTTAATGAGATAAATATTTTCATTAATGCAAATATATATATATATATATATATATATTTATATTGGGGTAGGTATTTGTATTAAATTAAAGTATTATATATGTCACAAATGTATTATCAAGTTAACAAGAAATTCTAACTTCAAAATATATTATTTTAAAATGTTCTGAGTTTTTTTTTTTTAAAAAAACTTACAACGGATGTGAAAATATGTTAATATATAAAATGTAGTTGTTCTCTTCACATGTTTATATTACATCTAAACAATTTAACGTGGAATACACATGCAAAGCACATCTGGTTAGATGACAAGAAAAATACAAAGCAAATCTTCTATATTACCTTAAAAACATGAACTCCTAAATTGAATGTTAAATTACTATAATATCCCTAACTTAGGTTGTGACTTTTTCGACAAGTTGTGACTTTTTTCGAAGGGTTGTGATTTTTCGATGAGTAGTGACTTTTCTAAAGAGTTGTGACTCTTTCAATAAGTTGTGACTTTTTCAAAGAGTTGTGACTTTCCAAAGGATTGTGACTTCCCGAAAAGGTCATGACTTTTCAGATAAGACACAAAAACCATTTTTTTGTACTACCCTTTGTTAACTATAAATAGAGGGACTTCCTCTCATTTTTCAACCACAATTTTTTTAATCATCTACTCTTCTTCTTCTTGCATTTTAAATTTTTTTGTGTGATTTATTGTCATAGAGTGAATTCGAAGTTCAGCGAAATATGAGGTACCACTATTCTGATGAAGTAAGTCGTTCTATCCTAAGAGGGTATATTCTATAACCTCGAGTACTTGAGGAAAATTATTTTGATGATATAATAATTATTTTTTTGCTTAATATATACATTAGTATGTAATGTTCCAATATATGAAGTTAACATGATGTAGTATCAATTTATTTTGTTTTTGTTAACAATTTCTCTTGTGATGTAGATATATGCTTCTAAGTATCTTTTCCAAAATTTAGATAATTGTCATAGTTTGTTTTTGATGCTCAAGACAAAAGAATGACTATTTATCAATGCTACTTATGTGATTTAGACTTTCATAAAGTTTGCTTCAAAATAGTTATTACTATACAAACATTACCATTTTGTTTTACTTATTTACTATTTCTTAATATTTTAGTATTTTACACGAATAAAAGTTCATATGACTTGTAATAACGACAGTTGAAGTTTGTATTATTTTAATTTTTATTATTTATTTAATAGATATTTTCATTAATGCAAATCTATATTTCTATTTGGGAAAGTATTTGTATTTAATTAAAGTATTATATATGTCACAAATGTATTATCAAATTAACAAGATCTTCTAACTTCAAAAAATATTATTTTAAAATGTTTTGAGTTTTTTTTTTTTTTTTTAAATTACTCACAACAAATGTGAAAATATGTGAATACATAAAATGTAGTTGTTCTCTTCACATGTTCATATTACATCTAAACAATTTAACGTGGAATACACATGGAAAACACATCTGGTTAGATGACAAGAACTATACAAAGCAAATATTGTCTATAAGGCAATATTAGTGAGATAAGACTAATTAGATGATTGAACTTCATCAAATTGAAATAAATATATACATTATTGCATTTAACTAATAAAAAATTTCATTAACCATCTTTATTTCACAAAAGAATCTGCAATATTATTTTTTGTTAAGCTTATTATTCAAATTTTCGCTTTGATGGTGTCGATTTCTCTGCCTTTAGACATAGGTCGTCTATCATTAGGTCATGAATTTATACTTTGTGTATGTTCATGAGACAGACCGATATACAGAAAGAGAAGAATTTGACATAAAAATAGTACTCATATTTTTGGTTTTAATCATTAACATAATCTATCATAAGTACTGGTAATGAACCTATCCACTACGACGAAAGACACATTTAGTAGTGGCATGCAGTAGATTTTTCATTGAGTTAATACCATTGTATTCATAATCGCTAAAAGCCTTTAGCAGTATTTACATTAGAGAGTTGGCTATAAATGTCCATATTTATTATTACAGGTAAACAATTACTCCATTATTTCCCATTTGGGACAACTAACAAGTAAATATTCAAACAGAAAGAGGCATGACTAGAGGGACATTAACTGGAAAGTCATGAATCTCATCAGTCCAAGGATTTTTCTCCATAGCAGGATTAATAGTCTTCAGGGCATGCCAAACAACACTGTTGCATTTGAATCCTGACCCGAAACCTATTTGCCATGCTCGATCGCCCTTCTTTATCCTCCCTTTCGCCTCAGAGTAGGCCAATTCATACCACACCGAGCTACTCGATGTGTTTCCAAACCTGTAAAGCGTCATTCTTGATGGCTCCATATGCCATTCCGTGAGGTCAAGATTCTTCTCCATCTCATCCAACACTGCTCTTCCTCCAGCATGAATGAAGAAATGTTCAAACGCCAACTTGAAGTCCGGGATATAAGGCTTGATATTCTTCAATTTAAAGATTTTTCTAGCAATTAAATACCCAAAATATAGAAGTTGTTCGGACATAGGAAGGACTAATGGCCCGAGAGTTGTTATATTTGATTTGAGAGTTTCTCCAGCTACGACCATTAGGCCTTTTGAGAGCGATATGCCAATATTTCCATCTTCATCTTGTTCTTGATATATACTTTTGAAAGCTCTGTCATCAGCTCCTTTATGTGTACGCACAACGTGCATAAGTTTATATTTGGAACGACGAGAGTCTGAGAAGCAGTTAGAGAGGAGAATGGCAGCAGCACCCATACGAAAAAGACAGTTTGATACAAGCTTTGATTTATCCTTTCCAAGATAATAACCACAATGGATGCTCTCTGTGCTAACTACCATCGCATAAGCACTGACTTGTGTCTGTTTTACAATTTTAACAAAGTAGTATATGAATATACATAGAATCAAACGTATGGATACAGTAATAATAAATGTCTAACCACTACATCAAAAATATTTTTTAGCAGCAATTAATTAACAATTGCCGCTAAATATATATTTTTAGCGGCAATTAGCATTCTTTGTATATGTCTCTAAAGGCTTTAGCGACATTGAATCTAATGATACTTAACTAATGTCGGTAAAGACTTTAGCACTCTTTATTAATATGTCTATTTATTGCCGCGAAAAGTTGTTTTTGTTATAGTGAACTAACCTGCAAAAGCCGGTTTGCAAGGTCTATAGAAATGAGTCCAGCACTGCAACCCATTCCACTGATATTATAAGTGAGAACATCCGATCCAAGCTTGTAATGGTTAACTATCATAGAGGATAGAGAGGGTGTTGGATTATATAAGCCAATGTTCACTATAATTATTCCAATTTCACGAGCCTTCACTTTTGTTTTCGCCAATAAATCGTCTATGGCTCCAAACATGACTTTTTCTGTTTCCTTCCTAGACTCTTCAAACGTCAATAACTTTTCAGGTAGCCTTCTGATACCCTCTGGAATATACGTTTTGTCACTATAACCACTTTTCTCCAATACTTTTTTCTGTAAATGTACAGCTTCGTCGTCAAAAGTTAATGACATTATGTCTAATAGTTGTTGTTTGCTCATCATATCCGCCTCATCTGGTTTGTAACATGCAAAATCGACTAAGTAAACGTTTCTTGGACGACCCCTGATCAAGTAGAGAGCGGCGAAGAAAATAATAATAATAATAATAATTGGCCAAGATTTCAGCATAAGAATAATATGATTATTCAAGTCTTCCAAGGTAGTCATAGTTAAAAGGTTATAAAATCCCAAAGCAGAAATGGCTGGAATGATAAAGAGGTAAGGTGTGTGAGAGATTAGAAAATGGTATCCAAGTTTTAAGTTTTTAACAGTGAAGAAATTGGATCCTACATTTTGTGCCATTGCTATTGAAAGGATGTAGAGGA